GGCTACAAGAGGGTAGGGCTGCGGCCGGGCCGGGCAGGGGCCTCCAGTTTGCAGCACCGCTGCTTGGCTGTGCCGCCCTGGCTTCGAGGGAGCGGAACTCCGCGGCTTCTGGGCGAGCCTCAGTCGTCCGCGTCACCGGGAGGGCCCTTGTCCAGCCCGGTGTCTCGCCGCTGGCTGTGGCCGTCTCTGGATGCACAAGGGCGAAGGCAGGGGCCAGGCACAGCTTTAAGGCTGTACTTTCTTTTTTTTAATTCCTTTTTCTTGAAAACGAGGGCTTCAGGCCATAAGCAAAGTAACCGGTGCCTTCCTGTCCTTCTGTCAGGTAATTTTAGAAGCTGGAAGCCAGTAAGTTGGGGTTGAGTGTTGCTGCAGTAGCTCGAGCTATTTCCATCTGTGAATCAGCCCTTTTTTTCAGTTCTAGTGTTAGCTTTTCAGTGGAGCTTAACCCATATATGTGTGTATTTTGTATAACTTTATTGTACAAACTAAGAATTCCTTTTGCGTGTTATTTTCTAAACAGCTGTTATCTGCTAAAGCTGTTATCTTTTTAAAGTTCCCTGCATTAAATATGACTGCTAGTTTAGCTAGACAAACTTCAGTTAGTGGTTTATACTGGATGGATGGGCTGGGATAGGCAGTCTGTCTCTTCAGACTTGTTTCACTGCTGTTTTGCTACAGCTTAATAGAAACCCCACTGTTTCTGCCACCCTTTTATTCCTGAAATGCCTGCCTTTCAGCAGCAAGTGAAGATGTTTTGAGACTCTGTGCAGTGGAACAGTGACCTGGGAGCTCAGTACAGAGGTGCCCAGGCTGTTTCACCTGAAGGCAGCTCAGACTGTGCATGGCCTTGCTCGACATGTTGCTTGCTTTCTACAGCCTGGCTTGTTTACTGTGGGGCCCTGCCAGGTTTAAACCTGTTCAGTGCTTTTGTGGAGTGCTGCACCAAAGCTAAAAAGGCTCTTCCAGAACTGCAGGTGCTCTGAACACAGCACATACGCATTCTGCAGTGCAGACACTGCTAATGCCCTTCTGGCTACCTGCCAACCCAAGCTGGCTACCTGCTAAGGCAGCTTATGTGTCCTTTTGCCTGTAGCGTGGCTCACAACTTGAATGCACTGTATGTGAGAAGTTACATTCACTTCTGTGCTTGGCATCCCTTAGTAATTCCGATGGCTTCTAAATCCTTAATGTGCTAGAGAAAGCAGTTGTTTTAAAGTGTTTAAACTCATCCCTTTAGCGTAGTGTTTGCGTTATTGTGAGGCTGTTGGAAGTTCTGCAGTGGAAGCACTCATTTATTAGGACATAATTATCTTTCTGTATTTGGAGGTCTGTGGAACTCTGGAAGCTGACTTTAAATATTGAGTATTTGCCTGGCTGCTGTTTGTTGGTCTTTCTGTCACATTTCTTAGCCATTCTATTCAAGTGTTCTTGTTAAATTTTGTCCATGGCTGCAGCTTTAGAAACTCTAAGTTTGCTGATATGCAATGCTATTTTAAAGGGTTTTTTGCATTATTGTGATTTTTTTTTTAATGGGAAACAAGCTTGAAAAACACTTTGAACATCTGTTCTGCTGACACCCTGTGGTAGATCATACTGATGATGATAGCTTTGCAGAATACTTCTGCAAGAATATCTTGTATGCCTCATAAGGGAAACTTGGAATCTTCCCACTTCAGATGTTATGTAGAAGTCCTCTTCCAGCAAAATAAGATGGACATCCATATCTGTGAGTGTACTGATCTGCACATGTTTTACAGGCAGAGTTCCTTGGGCAGCATAGACTAATTTTGTAAATGAAATACTGAGAAGGCATGGTAACGTATGTCACTTTGGAATTGCCTGTACATACAATGTACATTAAATCTAAAATGTGTAGATGTATTTATTTGCATCACTTCCTACATGTGAGGCCTGTACTTAGGCTGAATTTACTTATCTTCTGTTTTCTGAAACTTCTGGAGACTGTTCTGTGTTGTGGCCTCAGTAGTGGTGGGATTGGTTTTTTTTAACCTGCCAACTCTGTGACAATATTGACTCTCAATTAGGCAGAGCAGTCAGCAGTTTGACTTACATGAGGTACTTCTTTTATCTACTTTGGGGTATATCTTTGTACTTATTTTGATACACATCATAAGCCTTGCTTTTTGGGGCCTGTGCAGCTAGTAAATCTCAGTGTATATATGAGGTTCTTTCTATCTTACCTAGGTTGGAGCTCTCTCTCTTAAATAAAATAAGAATGTAGCTACTGATGTATTCTTCATTTGACTAAGTGGTACAGCCTTTCTTGTCTGTTTTCTTCTCTACTCATTTGAGGGGTGGAAGTCCTGAACATCTTGCTACCTTGTATAGGAGGAGGTGGAGTGGTTTAGCATGTTGACTAGACTGTGTGTCCTTCAGAAATTAACCTCTTTATGGTTTCCTAACTATAAGTTGCAGTATCCCTTAGGCTTATATGTAAGATTTGTGACTGTAGTGAACAAAAATATTAATAGTTGTATAGGAAAACCAGACTAAATATAACCTGAATATTGAGTATTAAAATGCAGGTATGTTTGTAGGATTACTGAAATGGGAACATCAGTTTGACTTAAGGTGAGGTAGATAAAACAGAACCAATCAATGTTCAATTTTGCTAGCAAAATATTTTCTTCTGATCATGCTGCCTTTGCAGGATGAGAGCTTCTAGGCTGTTCTGCTTGATTTTATTCTGTCATGTAGCACATCGCTGGTAAGAAGGTAAAAAGCAGTCAGCATTTGTTCTAGAAGTCTGTCTGGACTGGTTTTTTATGGTGAATTCAATGCACAAATATTCCAGAGAGTGAAATCTTTCCTAATTGCAGTATGGTATCTCTGTTTTTAAATAGGTCGTCAGGATAGCCTAAAATTAACTTCAGGCCAATATTTGCTAAAAATAATTATAGCAAAAGTAAAACTTGCTAGCCTTCTGGAGTGCATTGCAGGCTTCTTAACCCAAAAGATACTGGAATAATTAATTCGTGAAGGTGTAGCTTCAACTAGTCTAAATTTAATTCTTTTTTAATTTTCCAGATTCTTCTGAGTTGTACTTGAAGCCGCCAAAATGGTTCTAGCAGACCTTGGAAGAAAAATAACTTCAGCATTACGCTCACTGAGCAATGCTACGATTATCAATGAAGAGGTATGTAAAGTGCATATGTGATGGCACTAACATTTAGAAAGTAGAGTTCTGAGAAAAAGGTCTCAAAGACTCACCAGAAGCTTGAAGTAGGTTGATGTTATCCTGAGGCTCTCTTCTTCCTTCAAGTAAGGTTTCTGACTAGAGGTTTTAAGCCCCTGAAAGTACTGCCAAAACTTAGAACCAGACTTAGGTGTGTACAATCACCTTGGGCATAGTGGGTCCCATGGTCAAAGGGTCCTTGAGTGCTGGCCATGCTTATGGAGATTGGTGTTCTGAGGAGGTGAATGCTGGAGGAGGCAATATGTGCTGAAGTTCGAATGGGAGACAGGCTGTGACACTACGTAGAGTGCTCTGATTTGTGTGTGCACAGCTAGGCTATGGAGAGGTGTACTAGGCTGCTAGAAACTGAAGTGTAGAAGAACAGATAGCTTTCAGTGTAAACTTTCCTGTCTGAAATGTGAGGATTGTCACGTTCGCTGCCTTTACAGTGTGTGGTTCTGGAAACTGTTTGACTTGGTATAGTCTGTACTTTTTTTAGTTAAGAATTAGAAATTCTAAATGGACGTTTTCTGTTATATGGACTGAAAAGTGAGATGGAAAGTTAATTGATGTGGTGGTTTAAAAGTGCCTCTGAGTGAATAAGTCTCTAGAAACTTTTTTCAAATAGGCAGACAAGTGCCATAAGGTAACTTAAAAAGTAGGCTTATTGGGAATTTTAGGGGTGGAACTTGTGCATAGAGGAAAGGTTTTAACAAATCTTCAGCTGGGAGACAAACTTTTTTCCTGCAAAAGCTCAAACTGTGCAAATGAGGCCATTTATGTGGGTGTTACTTTCAGAAAATCTTTTCAGTTTGAAAAGTCTTAAAACTACTGAACTGGGTTGCTGACGGACGTACCTGTTTGCCTAAAATGCCAGAGCAGCATCCCAGTGTCTGCTGAGAATGCAGATAGCAGTGTGTCCATCTTGTATTTAAGGAAAACTTTTATTTACAGGGGTTGTGTTGTGTTAAGAGATTCATCTGTGGCTTTGTTACAGCTGACTCTAGGGAAATTTCCCAGCAGGGAAGTTTAGGAAGTCTCATTACCATACAAGCTGCTGTTGTCCTTAATGCAATAGGAAATGTTCTGTGTTACTTTGTTATAAAATGCATATTGCAAATTTAGGACTCTTCTTTTCCAGTATTACCCTTTTAAATTTATATTGTATTTATGTAGGAACAAATGCATAGACTTTTTTTAAATGTGGCAGACTGCATGCATTTGACTTGTAAAAGCCTTGGTTATAGCATAAATGCGCATTCATATTGAACTAATATGGGCCTAATTGATACTGTGTATTATAAAACCATTTTTTTATGCTCCAAAGGTTTTAAATGCTATGTTAAAAGAAGTATGTACAGCATTACTGGAAGCTGATGTTAATATTAAACTTGTGAAGCAACTCAGAGAAAATGTCAAGTAAGTGAAATAATCAAAACGCATTTAACTTCTGATGTCTGTAAAAGTTGTCATTTGAGGTTACAGAAGAATAACTGGCTTCTAACTTTGATTTTCTAAGACACACTCAGTTAACATTGAACAAGAAAATAGTTTTAACTACATATCTAGCCAGTTCCATCAAAAGAATCTGCACCAGGTTTAGCCAGCTATTGCTGTTACAGTCCTGTTTCCAAATACTGTGTTGCTGTCATTAGTTGAGTGGTATAATAAACAAGTTCTTTGTTACTTCCTAGACACCTCATCTTCACATGTTCTGTGATGGATATAAATAGATCTATGTATATGACCAGTACTGTTACCTTGGCTATTTTCAGATGTGTAATACAAGTAGATGCAAGCACTTGAGAACTGTTTGTCTTGCATACAGAAGTAGTGTCTCCATGTTTCTTAAATACATCCTATCTGAAAACTCAGGCCAAATCAGGGTGCTGTTCCAGTTGCAGAGACTTCATTTATTACTAAGTTAAAGTGATGCTTTAAGTTATGCTAGTGTTTCATGGTTTTCCTAACTCAGGTCTGCAATTGATCTTGAAGAAATGGCATCTGGCCTTAACAAAAGAAAAATGATTCAGCATGCTGTCTTTAAGGAACTTGTTAAGGTAGGGTTTACATAATTCTGTATTGCATCACTTTTCTTGTACAGCCTGAGCTGTGGAAGCAGTACGGTAGCAAACCAAGCTTTAAGGTTATTGTGTGGTGCCTATGGTTAGGTTTTGTGTTGTAAGGCTCCTTACTAGTGCAAAACAGTACTTGTCTGATTGGAGCTACTTCCTGGTCATCTGACTTTGATTTAAGCTTCAAGTTCAGCTGTTCTTACACTCCAGTTGAAATTTAAAGACAAGGGTAAATTACTATTAGCTTTGAGATTGTATTTGGTTGTCCCAGAAACACACCTTTTCTATCCTAATGAAGATTGGTTCAAACTACTTATAAGCCTTTGAAAAAGTGTTAAATAATCCAGCAGCTCATGGCAACACTTCTTTAGTCTGCCTGCTTGGTCAAGTAAGCACCTGGGTATCCATATCCTGTCCTCTTCTGTCATCTGTGCCCACCCATATGATGGCTCTCGGGAATGTATGTACCTTCTACTCATTCAAGAAGTAAGGCAACAACCCTAAAGAGGCTTCTATACTATAGGATTCTCACCAGAAGAGGTCCATCTGGAGCAGTGATGGTGGTGTGAAGGTTAAGTTTGTGTTGCTTGTTATAATTGTGCCATATATGCAGGCCACCCTGACTTTGGTGCTTGGTGTTAGCAAGAGATAACACTTACTCTTAGGGAGTTATTACACAGAACACTATATGCTATAGATAGCTTGCACAGGTTGTTACTGTTCACTGTAAATCAGCAAGCATCTGCACCAAATTAAGACTAGAATATGCAAAAAATGGTTTGCTCCATTGAATGTAAAACCAGGCACCTTGCATGACTGACACTGACTGTTCTGTGCTTCTGAAATTCAGTTCTGCAACATATATTATACTTTGTTTTATAGCTTGTAGATCCTGGAGTCAAAGCATGGACACCTACCAAAGGAAAACAGAATATTATAATGTTTGTTGGTTTGCAAGGAAGCGGTAAAACAACGACCTGTTCAAAGGTAACTTGCACTGAATCTGTGTGGTTTGTGTTTGGTTTTGTTTTTCTTGGCAGAAGTGGGATTGGTCACTGGAATCCTTTGGCAGGATTTACTTGTGGTCTGTGTTTCTGTTAGTAGGAAAGTACTAACTGATTACAGTGTGGAGATACTTTGGCTGAGGAGTTTCTGAGATGAGATGAATGTCCAGACTAATATTCTTTTAGGACAAATTATGGCTTGTAGGATTTCCTTTAATATATTTTTAATAAAGTTTTGATGAAACAGGACTTCATATGGATAACAAGGATTCTTTCTATTGCTTGCTTTCTGGGTTTAAGACCATACTATGAATGGAACCTGTATCACTCAATCACCTGTTCAGGGGAAGCAGTGGAAGTTTGCCTCTGTGTTAGATATCACATTGAGGTATGAGTGGGTGGGTGAAACCTCTTCCAGCCCCAAATTCATTGAGGAAATTCAGATTTGTATTTTAAGGCTAAAAAAAAGAGTGCTCTGAATCAACACTTAACCTGTTTATAATAGTTGCTGAGAGGAAAAATTATCATATGGAAAAAGACTGATGCATCTTTGGTTTTTTAGTCATCTGCTTCTGAGATTCATGCGTAGGCTACACTGAGTATATCACTGCTCTGATTTTGTAAGACTTTCCTAGTGCTTCTGTAGGCAAACTATATTTTGGAAGTCTGTCTTTGGTTAGTCAAATATTCTATAAGTGTACATTGTGTGAGTGAAGCTGAGCGTTACAAGAAAGGAAGGATTCCATCCATTGCTTCAAAACATGACCTTGCAATGGAAATACCTTTGTTCTTCTGAAAGTACAGAAACAAAGAGCTGTACAAGTTTTAGACATTACAGTAGTTAATACTGAAGTACTTACTGCTTTGGGTAGTTTCTAAAAGCTAGTCCTATCTGCAGTATTTACAGCAAAATCCAGGGGTTAGTAAAATGGAAACTGGAATTATTTGTAGTCATTCCTACCTCATGAAACTGAAGTTGTAAGCAGAGTCAGGCAGCTGTTTTCATCTTGCCATTGATAATTATTTGTATAACACACTTTTCTAAGTAATGGAGATGCTAACATTTGATACTTGCATAGTGTTACAGAGTGGTCTCAGTTATAAGAAGGCTGTCTTGACTCTGTCCTCTGTATGTACTTCAGTGACTTGTGAACTGTTAGTGTCATGCTTTCTATTGGGTTTCTGGTATAACAACTTGTTCTGGATTTCTTTTCAGTTAGCATACTTCTATCAGAGGAAAGGTTGGAAGACATGTTTAATATGTGCAGACACGTACAGAGCAGGTAATACAGTCTTTAATGTTGTGGTTCTTTAATAACTAAAATACTTATTTTTTTAATAATCTCCGGACTATACCTGTCTTACAGGTGCTTTTGACCAGTTAAAGCAGAATGCCACAAAAGCAAGAATCCCCTTTTATGGGAGGTAAGAATCTTTCAGAATCAGCTAGGAGAATCATTCAACTCCTTATTGAATATCTCATTCAGTGTTGCCTAATTACATAGGTTTTATTATGATACTTGATCTGATCAGATGAAAATTCTGCCTAGCTGAGTATACTGTCTGCCAGTAGTAGCAAGTAGGGATAATGTAAGAAGAGATCAGGCAAATGGGAATAACTCCCTGTAATGTTCTCATAGCATATAGTAGTTATGTTCCTTTACTGAACACATTCAGATTTTCAGGAAATATCCTTACAGATCAAAGGATATGATTATGACCCTTATTTTTTGTTGTCAGGTAGGGGCAGCAGTGAACCTAAAGAAGTAAATAACTTTCCCTTAAGTGTCATTTGTCATTGCAGGTGTACTGTCTGGGTGCTTAGTTAAATCTTATTTCAGAGAAGTAGAATTTAGTGCGGTCTTCAGCAGGTGAGACAGTCCTTTGTGCTTCAGATCATGGAATAGTAAGGGCAAATTACTTAGGAGGGCATATTTTTTGCTTATTACTCTTTGCTTGGCATCAGAGGAAGTCCATCTTGTAATCCAGGTAGATTTACAGTTAACTTTACAGTAACGTAATTAAAGTTTGAGTTAGTTTCTTTGGGAACAAAGTTTTACAGATATATATATATATACACACACATATACACACATATATACAGACACTTTCTTTTCTATTAAACCCTCTTCCTTCCCCAGAAGGGAAGAGAAAAGAGAATAAAGGAATAAAGGGAGAGAGACTTTATGGGTTGAAAAATAAAACAGATTTAATGAAACAATAATACTAATACTACAGGATAATAATGTAAATAGGAAAATAATGAAATATATACAGGTATGTACAAATATATACAAAACCAATATAAAATTCTCCCCTGCCCACTCCCCACCAATGATGATTACGTCACCAGAGGCTCTGCAGAGCAGGGCACTGGAAAAGTCCCAGTCCGGACCCAGCAGCAGTGGGAGCAGGATGCAGGAACACACGGATCAGGATCAGAGGCAGATGAACTAGCAGGGTTCTGCTCGGACTTTGGCCATTGAAGGGGTTAAGACAGAAGGAAGAGTCCAAGATGGAAGGGTCGAGACCCTCGTGATCCCTTGGCTTTATACTGAGTATGACGAATGTGGCGTGGAATACCTCGTTGGTCAGTTCTGGGTCCACTTCCCTGCTCTGTAGGTGCAGACATGGCACCCATGGTGAGACAGTGGCTTTGAACATTACCACACTGTCTGGAAAAACATGCTGCTAGTTTCAGCAAGTTCAGCCACTTAGAGACTGAGCTGAAAAGTAAAATCACTAAATAGAAAATTAGTTCTATTTAGCTCAAATCAGGACAATATATAATGTTTCTTTTTGTGTTCAGTTATACAGAAATGGATCCTGTAATTATTGCCTCAGAAGGTGTTGAGAAATTTAAGAATGAAAATTTTGAAATAATCATTGTGGATACAAGTGGACGTCACAAACAGGAAGACTCTTTGTTTGAAGAGATGTTACAAGTTGCTAATGCCATAGTGAGTAGTTTCAAGAAACAGAATAATTTCTGTTACAGTAATTTGACTACAATCCATTTACGTTTATCTTGTGTGTGGATTTTGCTCCTCTGGAGTGCATCAGCACTTTTAAGAGAAGATATTAGAAGTTACAAACAGATGAATAAACAAGAGCTGAATGATCAGTGCTCGATAGTTGTCAGTTTTAATTCTTCTATCTGTAATTCAAGGATGCTTGCACATAACTAGAA